AGGTTGAGATTTGGATTACCCATCATATTAAATGAATATGTTTTAGTTTTCTATTGCTGTTTAACAAATTATTACAAACTTACTGGCTTAACACAACACCCATTTATTATCTCAGTTAGGTAGGTCAGACGTCTCGGTGGGCTGAGTTCTCTCCTGAGGGTCTCACTAGGTTAAAATCGAGGAAGCTGCCTGGGTTGGGTTCTTATTTGGAGCATGGAGGCCTCTTCCAAGGTCATGCAGGTTGTTGGAAGAATTCAGCGCCTTGGGGTTGTAGGACTGAGGTTCCTGCTTTCTTGCTGGCTGTCAACTGGGGGACATTCTCAGTTCCTAAAGGCCACCCACCATGCTCTGCAAAATGGCTCTCTCTATACCATGGCAGTGTGTTCCCTTAAGGCCAGCAGCTTAGAATTCTGACGTCTTCCATCCTGACATTTAGACCCTCTTTGAAAAGGACATAAAAATTAATATCAATATTTTTTGTGTATAGTCAGACCAACCAGGGAAGACTCCTTTTTGATTAATTCAAAGTCAGCTGATTAGGGATCTTAACTACTTACGCAAAACCCCTTTTGCCATATAATGTAACATGATCATGGAGTGATAATCCACGATATTCACAGGTTTTTCCTGCACTCAAGGGAAGGGATATATATGAGGCCTGTACACTGTGGAACTATTGGGGTCATCACAAAATTCTGCCCATCCTAGTCCACCTGCTGGCCCCCAATGCTTCATTTCCCTCACAGGTGCGAAATACATCCCCCTTCCCCAAGGCTCACAAGAGTTCTCACCCCATTACAGCATCAACTCAAAGTCCAAACTCTCACCGTCTACATGAGGTGTGGCTGGGCTCCTGGGAGCGGCCCTTGAAGGAGCCTGCCCACCAGGCCCCACGGTAGTTCCGCTCCATGTACGTACTCATGAGAGCTCGCTGCCCCAACACTCCCAACACACAATGGTGGGACAGACACGAGCTCACAGGTATGGAAATTCTGGTTCACAAAAGGGAGAAGGAAGCGTAAATAGGAGCCATGGGTCCACAGCAGTCTTGAAAGCCAGCAGGGGAAATGGCGGATTTTTGTGGATTATGTTTCATGTTCATGTTCCGGGACTAACCCTCGGTAGCTGAGGACTTCGCCCTCCAGACTCTTGGTTCTACTCCCTGAGTCATCCTTTCCCATAAAAGGTAACATACGTTTGCAGCTGTGTAGTCTTGTCAGATTGCTTCATGCCATTAGGATTTGGGGGTTCCGACAACCTCCTTTTATTTGGATCTCTCTGGCCCTTTCACTCCAAACTGACAGTGCTTCTGCTGAAATGATTTTCTCCAAAACCTTGTGGACTTGGCATGAAATTCACTGGGTTTTGCTCAGCGAAAGTCACCCCATAAATCCGTTTGAGATAATCCTTTCTCACTCCTCTGCTCCTGCTGAGATGGCTGAGGGTCACTGCGCTTAATCCTCCTGGAGCCTCTAGTTTGATAGAGGATGTCTAAGGCATAATTCGAACCTCTCGAAAGGACCTTTTACTTACTGACACTGTTAGCTTTTGATGTTTGTGATGATCAAGTAAAGGTTATATGGTTACAATGTTTAATACGTTTAATTATTTGTTTCATACAACATTTAAATGCTAAATGCTCGTAAGGTATCCTTCTTAAAGAATACAAGATAAATTTAATAGTTAAAAATGCTGAGGTCTGTTTTGGGGTGCCCATATATGTGCCCATTTCCATTGGGTAAATAAAACAGCACAGACGGTGAGATGCAAGATAAGTTGATTTCAATTGAAGCTTATTGTAAATGTATGAGATTGTCACAGAGAACGCCATTGTAATGCTTGCCATCCAAATGAGAGTAATCATCTACCTATTCTCTAGGAATATAAAGAGCTGGGTGCTTTTTTTTCCAAGGAAGGAAGAATACCCTGTTTCTTCTGGAACAGCTGTTGAAAAGTCCACCCAGTTAACTGCCTTCCAGAGATCATTTAATTATAGGCATGGACACTCTTACCTCTTAGCTCAAATACAAGTATTTCTAATGATTTATGCACAGTATGATACCTTTTACCATTTCTTACATAAGCAAAATTTTAAAGACTCATAGATCTTAATCAGTCTCAGAGTTGAAAGGATCTGAGAGGTTACCTCGTCCTTTCCCTACCCAGCACAGGCACTTTCCCTACAGCATTCGTGCCAGATGACAATCGGTTTTCAGGCCAAACTCATCCCTGTGTTCAGAGTCTACATCCTCGATGGGAACACATTCAACTTTGGAATATCACAGCTCCTATGAGCTAGACATGTTCTACTAAATTAGACTAAACTTGTTTCCCTATAATTAATTCAGCAAACACTAATCTTACCTTTCAGACATGAATCAATATCACCTAACATAAGCCTAAGGTAGTGATCACATGTTGAACAAAAATAAAATCTCTAAGATAGACATTCCTTCTCCTTTGGCCTTTTCTCACAATTCTAGATGCTTCTGCCTCCTGGTCAGCCTCTTCAATTGATTCCTCTCCTCCTCAGTAAGACTCAGAAAAGAGCAGGCCAGGCATGTTTGCATTTTAACCAGTGCAGCTTTCCATAAGACTATTTTCTTTGAGCTGTGTATTGTACTTTTCTAATAAAGCTAATAGTGCATATTTTTTTGTCAATTGTAAAAAATGGCTTATATTGAGCTTAATGAAATAAAACCTTAGGAGGCACAAGGAGTTCTGGTTCCTCTATTGTTGTTCACTTGATATTTGAAATGTAAGAATATATATTTAATTGACCCCTACTACATTTTATGGTGTAGATTTGATAAAAATTGAAGATTTTTTTTATAATATTAAAAAACTTGATTATATTATCTAAAATATTAGCTAGTCCTTCCATATTTGCATCATTTATTAAATAGGCGTTCTCAGTATATCCTTAACCAAGACCAATAGGACTACTGAATATAGTACACTCTAATCCCTTATCAAGGACACAATCTATGGAATCTGGTGGAGCAATCAGAAGTAAAAACACCCAAAAGAAACCATCAATAAAACAAAAAGGAAGCCTACTGAATGGGAGAAGATATTTGTCAACGAGATATCTGATAAGGGGTTAATATCCAAAATACATAAAATGCTCATGCAACTCATCACCAAAAAAACAAACAACCCAATTAAAAAATGGGCAGAGGATATGAAGAGACATTTCTCCAAAGGGGACATACAGATGGCCAACAGGCATATGAAAAAATGTTCAACATCACTTAGCATTAGGGAAATGCAAATAAAAACCACAATGAGATACCACCTCACTCCGGTCAGAATGGCTATATCAATAAATCAACAAACAACAAATGCTGGCAAGGCTGTGGGGAAAAGGGAACCCTGGTGCACTGCTGGTAGATCTGCAGACTGGTGCAGCCACTATGGAAATCAGTATGGAGGTATCTCAAAAAACTGGAAATGGAACTACCTTATGACCCAGCAATTCCCCTCTTAGGTATTTATCCAAAAAAACCCAAGACATTAATCCGAAAAAATATATGCACCCCTATGTTCATTGAGGCCCTATTCACAATAGCTAAGACTTGGAAACAACCGAAATGCCCATCGGTAGATGACTGGATTAAGAAACTAGGGTACATTTACACAATGGAGTATTACTCAGCTATAAAGAAGAAGGAAATAGTGCCATTTGCAACAATATGGATGGAATTAGAGAACATTATGCTAAGTGAAATAAGTCAGTCAGAGAAAGACAAATACCATATGATCTCACTTATACGTGGATTCTAAAAAACTGAATAAATGAGAAATGTAAACAGAAATAGTCTCAGAGACACAGAGGAAAAACTGAGGGTTGCTAGTTGGGAGGGGCTGGGGATGAAGGAGAAGGGGAAGGGATGAGATAATGCAAATTGGTAACTACAATATGGCCTCAGGGATAGAAAAGACAGTCTGGGGAATATAATCAATAATGTTGTAAATATTTTTTAGGGGGCCAGATGGACTCATATCTTGTTAGGGAGACTACTTCATAGTTGGTGTAGAAGCCTGACCACCGCACTGTATTTCTGAAGCTGATGTTGAATAATAATGTATGTCAACTATAATTATATATACATATAGTCACGGTTCATGGAGTAGAGAGTGGGAATGGAATCAATGGAATTGTAATAGATAAGCATGATATCAGGGATGGGAGGGCAGTAGATGGGGGAGGGGGGTTGTTTCTGTGCAAAGGATGAAAAGGATAACTATTGCATTGTTCTGTACACCTGAAACTAACAATAAAATAAAATTAAAAAACCCACCAAATCCGCTATCTTATAGCCTGAATTTCTTCAGATTCTAGTCAAGAAAAAAGACAAGAATTTCTCAGGATTATTTTCTATTTCTATAAATGTATATTAAACATGAATTATTCAGGGTTTCTGAAGAACATTCCAAATTTATATCTATCAATATGACTCATTATTTGTTAGAACATAGTTTTCTAAAATCGCTGTGCTTTGCACAAAAGTCTGGGAGTCGCTCCTCGTGCCATTTTAAATAGGTGCTGATAATGGGAACGCTGCAGTCACAGGCCTATTGGAAATAACTGGGACGGCAAGAGAAGCTTAGTAAAGAGGGCCTGCCAAATATGTTTATGCAGGATTTTAAGATTTAAACTCAAACTTCATCAGAGGCTGCTGTGTGAGTTACCTAGGCTCTGGAAGAGCTAAACCAAAGACAGGCAAACGTCATCATTACCCAATTGAGTAGTGGGAAGTGTCCTAGGCAAGGCTATGATGCATAGGCAGGAATAAGTAGTCAGAACGCAATGTCTAACGCCTGTCACTGGGTCAAAACGAAGGGAAGAGACTGTCCCCGATGTCAACAAGGTGTGAAGGCCCCCCCTCCCATCCCCCCGGGTTGTGCTCAGACTGCGGGAAGAACACACCAGTGAGCCCTGAGACATGCGTCATGCTGCACACTGTGGAGGAAGGACAGACAGTCGAGCATCTTACGTTCTTGGAAGGACGTGAAGAGCATCTGAAACCGGCTGTTCCGACTGCCCTCATCCGCCCACATGCGGATGACCCCCAGGCCCGTGCGGAGCATGACGTCATTGGCCACTGTGCTGCAGAACTTGGCTCTCAGGTCCTCCACGGAGCTGCTGCCGTCGTACACCGCCACGAAGTTCCTTTTGCACTCATTGGAATTCTGCATCTCATAGTCCAAGAAGCGTAGGTAGATCTGTAAAACAACGGAGGCGACAGTGATTTCCGTGAATGGAAATACGGAGGGAGCGCAGTAAGTACCGGAAGTCCCCCCTCTTGCTCAGCCTCACAAGACCGTCTTGATTGCAATCAACCTTATTCTTTCCCCCGTGGACAGCAAGAAGGACGGATGTATGAGTAAGTGCAAATCGTGCTTACGGTTTGTTTTTTTTTTTCTTCTTCAAAGGTTACTATCCTTTCCACCTGTAAATGTACCATTTCCCACGGCTGAGTATTTTTACCCAAATGATCCTTATTTCTTACCAAAACTTATTTGGAATCAGGTATTAGTTTTTATACTTCCACACTGTTTTATTTCGGTCAGCACAAATGTGCCCTAAATATTCTTGATACATCCCTGTTAAAGTCCCATGGCCTCCACTTAACTTCCCAAAATGTATGGATACAAATAATTTGTTTTATTACCAGAGGAAAACAGGAATGGTATCAAAAGGTAGCCTCTGATTCCACTTTGTTTAAATTATTTCACATAGTTACACTGCTTCACTTTTGAGGTAGAGTATATGTTTTTAAAAATGGCAGCTAATCTGATTATTCTCACCATAATATAGTATCAAGCCATTTAGTTAAGTCCACATAAATACAAATTAAATTAACATTTAATGAATAAAACTTATTGCACCACCTACTTTATTGGCTATTTTTAAATATTCCCAACAACTCTATGAAGTTCTATTGTGACACTCAAATGGAAAAACTCAGGCCTGGATAGTATACATTCTGAGTTAGACATAAGGCCCCTCCACCTCCCTAGTCATAATCCTTCCACAATATGACACTGCCACACACATACTCTTTTATGATCAACAGTTATTGTTTGACTCTCTTCCAACGTGTACTGAAACTCCAAGCAACTGATTCAACCAACGGTAAATCTAAAAAGAAGGCGTTGGTGCATTCATCCATCAATGCAGCAATGTCTACCCCAGCCTCTTCCTGTGTCTCAGACGCCATTCAAGGCACTGGGGCTACAATGGCAAAGACTGAGGACCCGTGCTGACAACATGTGTCCATTCAATTATGGCACAGAGATGCAATGTGCAATGTCAAACAGTGTGAAGGGACATGAAGCACAAAACCTACATGGTCTGAGACCGGTTGTGGAATAAAAAAGGCACTCCCCACAGAAAGCTCTCCTAAGTGTTTTACTTTTTTTTTTTTCTTTTTAACATGAATTCCTATAGGCTATTTTCTCTTAAAAAGTCCTTCTATTTAATGTGTCACAAGTATAAACTAAAGACATGCATTAAATTAAAAATTCAACTTATTCATCACTCTGTATTCCTTTTCTTTAATTATTTCATAATCTGTGAATCTCATAAGATAAATTTTTCACAGATGGCCTGCCTTGCACTAAAAAGTTTTATTATTTCAGTTAAGATTAACTTCTTTTTTTGCCCTCAGCATTTGCACTGAATTGGGCAATAGTCCTTGTTAATTTCACCCTCAGAATAGTTATTTTCCATCTCCACTCACACTTTTGTGATATTTCAACAGTCTCTAAATGCTGGGTGTTTCCTAGGTACGAACTTTCCAGCTCATCCCCAAAGTCTGGCCCAGTCAAAGTTATATTTCTAAGAAATATGGTGATGGAAGGAGAGCTAACTCTGGGTGGTGAACACATAATACAATAGATAGATGATGTATTATAGAATTGTACACTCGAAACTTATGTAATTTTATTAACCATTGTCACCCCAGTAAACTTTAATTAAAAAAAGAAAAAGAAACAAATCTGATAACCATACTAAAATCTTTAACTGGTTTCAAGATGGTTATAATGAAACACATTAAAAACCATAAACTGGCACATTTTCCTTCTTATCTTTGAGCATTACATGCTCATTTTTTAAAATGCCATCCTTTATGGGTATGACATTAGTTTGACATGAGGTAACCATTCTCCATTCTCTGTCTACCAACTTCTTCCTCATTTTTCAAGGTCTGGTTCAGTGATAACACACCCAGTGAAGAATGTGCCCTGCTCTCACTCCCAACCACCGCTGAATTATTCTCAACACGAATTAATGCTAAAATATTATTTTGACATATTTTAAGCTTCAGGTACAGGTTATATGTACCTCCTCTAAACAGTGTGTTCCTGGAAAGCTGGGGCAGTGGTGTAGTTTTTAAGTTCTCAGCGTTCAACCATGTGTCACGTATGGTAAGCAGTTTGTGAAATGTGAATGGACGTACCTTTGAGTGACTGACTGATTAAACACTCTGTGTTCTCGATTGACTTCATTCGTTCAGCACCCATCCAATATTTATTGAGCACCTCACCTATGTACCAGTGTTTTAAGTGTCACTAATAATGATAATTATACAGAATAATTGACATTTTGTTATTTGCAATAGGAAAGTATATGAGATAATTCTCAAAACAACATATTTATAATATAACTCTAAACTATGACATAAAAGCCAAAGACAGTGTGCTGTGGAATTACAGGTAATATTTGTCATGACCATTTTAGAATGCAAAATTGGAGGCTTACAAAAACTGAAATAACTTTCTCAAAGTCACACAGGCCGTGAAGGTCAGTACTGACCTCAGATCTGTCTGACATTTTGCTCCTCAGCATCATCCTACATAGCCTCGTAGGAACGCTGTTTTGTTTGTTTGTTTGTTTTTTAATTCTCAGACTTATATTCCAGAAAGAAAGTTATAATCTTAAAGAAAACAAGCTACAACAAAATTAACAAACAAGCCAACACAGCAACATCATTTTCCTAAAGGGGCGAGGAAACATGTTGACAATCGAGATAGAAATGAGATTCATAGAAAACAAATACATCCCTCTGAAATAAATGGCTGCCTTCAATTTCCTCAAAAGGTAAAGTGATTCTCTAGAGCAGCGGTTCTCAACCTGTGGGTCGCGACCCCTTTGGGGGTCCAACGACCCTTTCACAGGGGTCGCCTAAGACCATCGGAAAACAAAAAGATATTTACATCATGATTCATAACAGTAGCAAAATTACAGTTACAGAGTAGCAACGAAAATAATTTTATGGCTGGGGGTCACCACAACATAAGGAACTGTATTCAGGGGTCGCAGCATTAGGAAGGTTGAGAACCGTTGCTCTAGAGGAATACCACTGCAGTTAGACAGCCCATTTGCATGCTGTCTCGTTTGATTCTAGAGCATGTCCATATCTTCCCTAAGAGGTGACGGACTGGCTGTCTTCCACGACGTGCGATGACTGAAGCCCAAGTACCTTCGATATTTAAAGACCATTCTTGTTATTTATAGAAGAAGTGAAAAATTTTGGTCACTCTATTTTATTATTCACTTCTGAAGTACTCAATTTTTTTTAAACTTCATCTTTTTTATCGTTCAAGAAGAGAAATAAAACATGCTAGTGGGTATTTAGCTTTACTGGGTGCAGAACTGTTACCGCAAAAGGTAGTGACCCAAAAAATGATCGAGTTTTTCCGTCCTCACGCTAGCAGACTATCACACAGAAGCCTTTCTGCACTGTGACTGAAATAATATTTCATCAGCTTAAAGCTAGTGCCATGCCATCACCAAGGGGAAGGATGCCATTTGACAATGTTTTTATTTAAGGAGGACAACTACAGGAAGCTCTTTAGGCTCCCTCCTGAAGGAAACAGAAAATGATCAACAGAATCATATATAATTCCAGTAAAATAGATTACAATCTCCTCTCAGTGAATCATTTGGATGCATTCTTCTTTCTAATCAATCACAAAGTTTGAGCTGACAAAATGATTTATTAAGCAGGACTTGGGAGGCTGCAGAACATATAAGCAAGTCCTAGTAATATCTGTCTTAGAATCTCACTAATAGTGGGGGCAGAACCCCATTTGTATGTGGATAGCAAGCACATCTAGCTAACGATTTACTAAGTAATAGATTTACAAACATTTAATACCAACCATTCATGGTTCCTCCCCTCACATCGCAATGATATACAGAAAGCAGACACTGTTTGAGGCAATTATTTAAGACTCCCCAGGAAAGTTTTCTCCAGGATAAATACAAATGACATACACTGCACCACAGTCTGAGAAATCCTGTCTGTCCATGAATTCAAAACATTACACTTCCATAAATAAAGCTATGTTCTAAAGAGAGTGTAGCCCAGGACTTGTGTGGTTCTGCTTTATTTGGACCGGCCATGCCAGGCCTTACCATTCTAGGCAGGATATGCCATGAATTGGAGAGCACATCCCCTTAAATTTGGAGAAAAAAAACAAAACATCATCCTCTTTTCTGACATGTTGAAAAAATACAACCTCACCACAAATCCTGGTGTAACAATATTAAAATGATTTTCTGATAGGCATAGATAAGTATCCAGTATTCAAAAAGTCCATCTGAGTAGCCCTCCAAAATCTGATAGTACAAAACTGAGATTTCACTTAAAAACAGAGTTGACCTATAGCATTTTCATTGAGAGTTATCTAGCCTGTTCAATTGTTCCTTTGGTTTACCTAATTTTTATATTTGGAGATAATAAGGCAGATGCAACCATTAGATCTCTAACAGTTATCATAATCAATTTCAGCTACTAACCTGTGTCTATTGTATTAGTTTTCTCCTCGCCCTGTAACACATCACCACAGAGGGAGCAGCTTTAAACAATACTCATTTGTTATTGCTGAGACGCATGGGTTAGAAGTGCTTGTTGGCTGGGCTGTGTTGTCTGCTAAGGGTGTATGGGGCTGAACACCCAGCCCTTCGCAGTCCAAGGACCCAGGTCCCTGTTTCCTTGATGACCCTTTACCAGGGATCACTTTAGCTCCAAGAAAACCTTCTTAGTTCTTCTGAGTTGGCCGTCCCCATTTCCCACTGCCAGAGCTAACTCTACTTTTAAAAAGCTCATGCGATGAGATTAGGCTCACCTGGGTAAACTCTTTTAATTAACTCAGAGTCAACTGACTGGTAACCTTAATAACATCAGCAAAATCCCTTTTGCCAAGACTTGCACATAATCAAGGGTGTGATATTTTCTCTTATTCACAGTCCCAGGGACCTGGCTGGAAATCTTGGGTTTCAGCTTTGAGATTCTGCCTACGACATTTAAGTTCATCACATAATTAACTTTAACACTTCACTACTTACTATATTTGTCAATTTATTTCTGTTTCTTTTATCCTTATTCAAAAAATTTTTGAAGCGAGAACATATTAAAAATTAATTTGAGGATTTAAATGTGTATAATTACTAAAAGCTAGAGTTTTAATCCCCCAAGACTTAAAATCATTACATTATCTTCATTTGTACACAATTATAAGTCTTTCTGACTTATCTCTTTTCATTTCTTAAATTTGACAGTTTCTCCAAATAGCGTGGTTTGCGACATCACAGTGGACTGGAGTCAGGAGACGGGGGCCACGCTTGAGGATTGTTACTAACTGACCAGCTATTTGGGCAGTCACTCATTACAGATGCATCAAGTTTTGGTCTTGAAAGCAGTTTAATATTATCTATGCCAAAAATGCACTTGACTTTTTAATTATTATACAAAAACCCTGCCAAATCCTACTTGGATGCCTGTTATGGAATCTCATTTGATCTTTGGGCAGCTCCGTTATTAAAACAAAAACCAAATACTCTATATTGAATCAAAAGCTATTTCTTCCATTCTCAAGCATTCCAATACATTTCAGTTCTTCAAACCATGCAGATTCGCCTTATCGTCTTATCCCTCTGTCATATGGCAGTCCTTCAAATGTTTGCTACCACGCCTTTTTCTCTAGGCTTACATCAGTTTGCTTTGTCCATGCATTTTAACTGAATGGCAGACATTTATTTTGGCACCGATAAATAAGCCTGACGTTCGTGGAACTAGCGTTCCAGTCCTTACCATGACTTGGTCCACCCAACATTCTTTTGTGGACCAGATCCAGAACTAGACACGATGCTACCCTCCCATCATCCTTGCTCTGGAACCTGTCTCAATACCAAGTAGCTGCTTACAGAGGTAGGTTCCTACCTCGCATGGTTAACCCATAGAGAACTCATTCTCCTCGCCTGGCTTATTCATCTGTCAACTGAGCTAACGAGTAACAGATTTCCAAAGTTCTTTCTGATTCTGGTATTCCAAATTCTAAGAAATCTGGATTAATCACATTCTGATTAAAGGCGACCATCTGTATTGCTATCCTCAAACACAGCAGATATCAGATATTATATTTTTTGTTAGTCAAAAGGCTGAGAAGTATCACATACTTGATATAAATTTTAATAAACCCCAAATAAGCTGTTTGGCACTTTGACCGTGCAGTATGTTTCTGTCACCAGTTATCATTCAAATGTTCACCAGGAGCCAGTTCAAGTTTAAATTGGGCTTTGATCATCTATTCTCAGAAGCTGCTGAGCACTCCATAAAAATAGAAAGCCCGCATAGGCAGTCGTCTCCAGTTCTTGCTTTTCACCACAGTTATTCAAACCCACTTCCTCTCCTCTAACCTTTAACAGAGAAAACCTGTCACAATAGAGCCATCTTTGTCTGGCTCAGTGTGTGGCGTTCCCGTTGGGTCACAGAATGCCAACTGTGTAACAGACAGGTACACTGTGTATTGTTGTTCTGGGATTGTACAAAAGACAGCCCATTTACCAGCGGGAAGAAAACTGTGTGTGTTCCACTCCCATGAAAACCCTCTTTTTTAACAGAGACAGTGACAAAGATGGGGGCTATGACAAAAAGGCGGGGCTCATATGTTCCCTGTGTTTTTGTCTGTAACTATTATTTTTTAAACTATAGTAAAAACAAAACTAAAAAAAAACCACAACAACTTTAAACAATCTTTCATCCACAGAACGGAAGGAAAGGAATGGGACCTGCATGAGAACCCAAAGATTATGTAGAGAACACAATAAACTTCAACTAGCTCCCTTACATCTCTGCAGTGAGTAGAGCTGGAAGGCACCAATAGCCTATGATTTCTTTTAAAGGAGGGGTCACTGTCTTTGTTATGCAATTAATTTTTTTCAAAAATTTGTTCAGATGCGAGGAGACCTTTATGTGGTAAAGTGGGATCCAGACCACGGTCTCTGAGCCTCAGTACTGCAAGTTCAGAGAGTGTGGGATGCTTCCAAATTATGGAAATCAAGAGAAAAAGACACAAATATTTCCTAAAATGCCAACTTCCTCAAAAATGACTCTTATTTCCCCTCATCCCAAATATCCAGCCACCAAATGCTGTTGTTTCTGTGGTTTCTGTTCCCTTCATCTGCCTACCATCATAAGATAGCCTCAGCCCCTGGGGTTGCAACCAGGGCCTCCTCATGGGGTGTCTGCTTGCACTGTCAACCCCTCTGTCCTCACTTTCTAGGATGCAGACCCAATCCCATCCCTTTCCTGCCTCACACTCTCCCATGGGTCACTGATGCTCTCCTAGGGCCAGCCCACCACTGCCCCCACCCCCCGCCTTCACACAGGTTCATTCGACATCCCAGAGATACCTGATGTTGGAAGCCCTGGAAAGTTTCTTCCACAGACATGATTTTAGGTAAAAAAGCAAACCAACTGCAGGCGACAGTAAGGCATATGTGTAATTATACTTAGAACCATAGCTCACGAAGAACATTTCAATCCCTTTCTTGGAGGAGTTACAGTAGCGTCTCTTCTGCAAGTTACCAAATGATCTTCAGCACTTTCTCCATATTATTTATGACATGAAAGTTACACTGGGATGGGGAAGACAAGTTGCATTTCAAAACCAAAATGAAACGATAGCTTGTGGTCACACTCTGAAACGCACTAAGCATCTCCATTTGGTTGAAAGCAACACCTGCTACCAACAATTCCCGAGTTGACTGTCAAGTTGACCTTAAGACTGACCTTGGATCGTGGAGGTGCTCGGATGTACCACTTGCAATCAACAGCCTCGCTAGCAGAAGCTTTGCCTTCTTTCATGATTTGTATAGATTCCACAATTCCTTCAGGACCGCCCATCTCAAACTCACACACTAAACAACAAAATGCCAAACAAACACAAAAATCGAGCTTGAATAATAAACCAACATTATATATCATAGCAGAAAACAAAGGCTTCTGAACATGATTAAATATCTATTTTACCAACCTGGTAATGGTTTCAAAACTCCAAGGTCCTTAAAGTCGGGATCTTAAAAATTGAGAAAAAGACAATTAGTCTTATTTCACATTTATTATTTACCATGATGGTGAGTCATATACCATTGAATGATTCAGGAATCTGCCTAAAATTTCACACTAGGGAAAATCAAATGGTTAAGTAAAAACTGCATGATAATGTTAAGGTTGAAATGTTAATTTATATAACATAGCATTATGACTACAGAGTTTTTTATCAATAAAAAATAAGCCATTTTTAAAAACCTTCCAATGTCATTCTTTCATCTAGTCGTCAAATAAGAATCTTACTCATTTTCTAACTCCATAATTGGACAATAGATATTTTTGTAAAATATTGGGTTGTCGGAAAAGTCATGACATATATTTTCTATGTTTTTTGTTGCAAAAATGTGTCATGACTTTTCCGACAACCCAATAGATCTGTAGGCAATTCAGAGCTTGAGTGAACCTCCATCTATTCTAGATACAATTATTGCATTTGATTTAAAAGATTCTATAAGTTGATGAAACACAATTTTCAAACAACATATTGGAAGCACAAAGTTAAGATGTACAAGTTAAGTCTCCTCTCCCTGGTGGACGACACTGTCCCCTCAGTCTGCTCTCTGCCCATCTCTGCACATTGATGCCGAGAAGCTTGATGTATCATGAGCATCAGAAGAGTCCCAAAATGGCGGTCTCCTTTCCATTTCCCAGAATTGATTCTGAGATAGGCATGTGGCCCATGTGATGGAGAGGTGAGCCTGCAGGAGGGCTCCTGAGAAAGCTTCCTGTAATAATAAACAGAGACAAAGCACGCAGAGCTCCCACCACTCGTACTGTGTCATGTTTGTGCTGGATCTTTGGGACCGTGTGCAGTGGCCTTGTGACATTGGCTGGTGCTGATGTGAGAAACACCACCTTGCACGATGAGCAGAATGGAAACCTGGAGAGCTGGGTCCTTCCATGATCCTGGGGACCAGGGTTTAACCATCCTGCAGTTGCCCCCTTCTTCACTTTTGAAACAATGCAGGTCCTTGTAGTCAGTCTCAGTTCCTTAGATCTTGACTTTCTTTTGTTTATGGGTGACCTATTATGTGTCTTGGAGAGGCATGGCGTCCAGTTTAAAAGATGATGGTGAAATTTAGTTTCATTTCACTACCATGATGGCTATAAATTTAAATGCTTATCAAGTTATAAATATTTAATGCCTGCTGTAGGCAAGAAGAGAACTATGTTTTGTATAGCATTACTCAGATTGCTTGTCACCATGAGGCAATTTTATTGATATTGAAGAGACCCATTCCATACTTGTCCTTAATTTTACATCTAGCTTGCCCACCTCAGTTATCCGGATGCCTTATTGTTTAGTGTCCTTTTTACTATATTGCATAATGCCTACTAAATAGCCCTTATTTCTACTTACTATCTCCACCTTGATTAGAATGTTTCAGCCTCACATGGCTGTTCCTGATTCTTGGGGAAATGTAGCTGGTATTCTATTTTCTAGTTGAAGGCTAACATTCATCATTTTTATAACTTATGCCAGACAACGTTGAAAGAAATGCCAGTTCTGGGAATTGAAAATTTATTTTTATCTTTGTATTAACGGTGAGAGCACTGATAGTTTAAAAAAAAACAAAAAACCTTGCAGAAAAAAATCGTTTCTGCAATTCCATTTGAATTAGCCACCAGCAATGTCACCATTACCATAATAGATGACCTGTGAAAACAAACAGAAATGAACAACACAATAATTTTTAAAAACAGCCCACACCAAACTTGAGAATATTAAGATTGATGTATTGCCCTGGGTTGTTCAAGGGCAATGGCAAATTATTTTGCAGAAGCACAATGAACTTGACTTAGTAAGTCATCTTCTACACTAGATCTCTCCAAACCTACACTCCATTAAGCAAACTGAATAAATCAGTAAAACTATACTTCTAATCCTAATACTCACCTGCCTTTCCATCGCCCGTAGGATCAAACCACAGCTTTTTTTAATAGCGCCTTGTGGGGTCTTGCCCCAGGCCCCAAGCTCTCCTCCCTGCTCAGCTCTGCTCTCCACTCAAAACACACTGACCCTTCCTGTCTGTGCAGCAGTCCAGGCTGTTCCCAGTGTCAGCACGTTGAACCTGACCTCTGCGGGGTCTTCCCCCACGCCTTGCCACAGCTGGGTCTTCTCATTCTTCAGTTCTTGGCTTAGATATCATGTCCGCAAACACTGTAGATTTGCAACCTTCCTGGATGGTCCTCTTTACCATAGGATTGTCCCTAACTTTCCTGTCTCCCTTTATGGTTTCTTTTATTGCAAGTGACTATTATTTTGCCACTTGTTTGCTTTATATTGACCTTATGTTCCACCGGACTAGAAGACTCGATGTCTTCAACACCATCACACCGTCTATATGTCAAGTTGGAGAAAAGGATGAAACTGATATTTCAAAAGGGTCTCTTACTCATGGGAAGGAGAAATGCCCTCCACATAAAATGGGAAAGGCATACATGAGAGATGGAAATATGGCAAAAGCTATCATTCCTTCAGCTTTATAGGTGTTGACAGTTTGCCTTATTGTGATTTAGGCAGAAAAATGACTTTCTAGTTGTTCCTGTGACAGTTTTATTGTAATAGTGTTTTGAGACAAATGATTGTTTGGAAATTATTGAATATTTTAAATGTAGACACAATTAGTTCTTTAAAAGCTAAAAAACCTCTCAGTTACTGTGTGTGTTTTCTCTAGCCAATAGGAACTCACCCATTCAAATACTTCGGCAGTTTTTAGACTTCTGGATTGAAAGCTACAATGAATAATTCTTGGATTTGAAAGAGCTTAGTTCTTATTCTTTAATGATTGATCTCAAAATGGAGCTACAATTGAGCTAGTGAGGTAATACCATTCAAAAGTGTCCTGTTGTACAACACACAGTAAGTTAATCCTTCATTTCCATAAAGCCTGGGGAAGAATAGAGTTTATTATACTTTGGTTTCTTCCTTAGAATTTTGTTTATTTTCTTTGGAGTAAATTCCTCACTTCCATGAGTCAGAGAACTCAGCTGTGCCAATTTCTTTACAGCATCTTTAGATGTTCAACAGTGGAGTTGGGTTAAGAAAGCAAGTCTTCCAATTTTCCTTTTAAAAGTCGCATCTTTAAATATAAATATATATACTTTTTAAAATTTATTTTATGATGAAATAATAAATGTTAATATAATAATTGTATAAGTATATAATAACATGTTCCATAATGATATAAAATAGTTATTATTCATTATTTTTTATTTAGGAAAGTTTTAAAAAACAATGTTGCAAAACAAAACAAAAACAGATAAATAAAGCTAAAAATGATTTGTTACAGTTCTCAAACTAATAATGACAAAGTCACTGAACCATCTTACAAAGGTACTATATTACATTGGCTGGAGAAGCCCACACACGAGGTTTGAGAAACTGATAAAGTGACACACAGCTGTCATTGCTAAATGGCTACTGCATGGAGTGTTGGTAAAAAAAAAAAAAAAAATCAGGATGCTGCTGCTTTCCAACCATTCAGTAACTCGCCGATTTTAAGTTTGCGGCTAACCAGAAGACAGAGTTACTATCTTGTCTGCAGAAGTTTACTTTTGTCTAACAAGCAGGCAGCTGTACAGACATGGCTGAGTTTGCTTATTTTGCTTGAATTCACCCAGTTCCAACATGGATCAAGCATCAAAGACTTCTTTTGTGTAGATGCTTGGCAACAGATGCAAGTAGTGAGGAAACAGCCACATCAGTGAGTAACCTGGGAATCGCATGGCTTATCCTGGCACATCCGTGTTGGCCTTTGCATCGATGGTGCAGAGGCGCTGGTGAAGATAACTGCTGATGCCCTAATGTGGCTCGCGATGACGGCGCCACACCTTAGCTGTTAGTATTCTTGTGTAATTTATCCTCACGTGTGCAGGGGCTAAAAAACTATTTTACTTAAAAGTTTTCTTGGCATACCACTAAAACTTGCCAATTTTTAGAACTTTATAATTTTGAGTACCTGTCTTTTCTTCAGGATGAACATAGTGAATCTGCTGCCTGTAAGGAAAGCTGCAGGTGCACAACATTGGCTGCAAATGATACAATTCAAGCTCCAAGCAGAGGAAGAAGTGTCCGTCACTGTGTACCTGACAGCTTCTCAATACTTACAGACTTTTAAGTGTGACTGTTGATATGCGCAAATGTGATTTTTGATATTAAATAGTGAAATGTGTCAACATTTTGAAGATGGGTATAACAGCGATCCAATAAATTGTCAACCAGTAATGTATGATGTTCAACAGCCATACCTGGGTAACGGAGGCATTTGAAGAGCCAAACACATGGACAGATGTTAATGTAACAGAATATAACAATTCACTGATGGAGTTTCGCATTCCTCAGTGTAACTAACCATTATGAAACTATCACTCATTGAGGTTTGAGGTATTATCCATCTCAAAAGGCTACAAAAATACCTTGCTCGTTTCCAACTACATATGGCTGTGAGGCTGAATTTTCTTCATATGCTTCATCCATTCCAACAGATTTAATGCAGAAGCAGAGGTAAGAATCTAGTTGTCTTCTAATAAGCCAGGCATTAGATTTACAAAAATGTGAAACAATGTAATTCTCTAGTCATTATGTTAATATTTATTATCATTTAATATTAATCAATGTTTTTAAAATATGCTTTTTATGTTAACACGTAATTGGTTTATTAGTGTAATATTTCTATGTACTAGTAAATAGCTATTTAAAATTTTATCAGTTTAAATGTATACTATGATAAATATTGAATGATATAGCTACATAAACCAAAGTCTTTGGTATTTTATAAAAGTGGATAAGGGTTTTGAAACCCAAATATTTCAAACCTTCCGCCCTAACCAACCCGATCTTTATATCATGGGTAAATTCCTTCTTGCAACAAATCTCTAAATTATAACATATTAACTTGGCTTGTGCAACGCATTTATTTCATATTCCAAATTTCTACAATATTAGCCATACTGTAGACAGAC